AAAAACATTGACTCCTTACGATGCCAATTAGAAAATGAAGAATATAGCTTGGTAGACGGATTGATGTACAAGAAGAAACAGGACGGTAAAATAGCTTTGTATGTGCCCAACGAAATGGAGCACAACGTGATACAGGTTATTCACGAGAAGATGGGTCGCTTATCAGTGGAGAAGACCCTTAGTAAGCTGAAGTTATATTATTGGTTTCCAAACATGCGACCGAAAGTAGAAAATTCGTTAGGAATTGCCTGAAGTGCATAATGTACGCCACACCGCCTCGTGCAAAAGAAAGGACTCTTCACGTTATCCCTCAACCCCCTTTGCCGTTCGACACTATCCACTAGGGCGGGTCGAAAATCTAATTTTTCCTAAATCTCTGGGTAATAGTGCAAATATATTGTATCTTGAAGTCAACAACAAGCCTGCAAAATATTAGTCTTTTATTTCAATTGTAAGAGCCCGCGCATCGACCGCCAAGTGACCCACAGCACACTAGTCGAATAAGACCAGTTCATAAAAATTCTGGCCTCAGCAAAAAAGTTTGGTGCATATTATTAGATAATGAATCCGTTAAAGCAAAATACAAAATCAAATATCATTTTCCACAGCTCCTTAGCTTATCGTTAATGTCAAAGTTATCTTTTTTCAATAAAATTTTAATTGTTCTCTGCTCTGCTCTATAGTCAAAAGATGTAAAGAACAGCATTAGTATTTGCTGGCGTGGATTTAGGTCGCCGGTTCCAAATATTCTAATCTTTTTTTAATATTAGCTATAGTTTGCGAATTTTTGGCAAATTTAGGAAGAATTTCGGTAGTTCCAATAGAAAATCCATTATTTTCCATCATCGCGGAAAAATTTTGTTTTTGCAAATGAGTATGGACACACAGAACAGTCACAACTTCTAGAAACACTAACTAGTTTATTATGTTTATGCATACAATATAAAAATTGCAAATATAGGAAAATTACAAAAAAATTTTGTTCAACATATACTTTATTTTAAAATAATTTGTTTATAATCTGAACGATTTTCATCATATTATCATCATAAATCAGAAACAGTAAGTCTCGCCTTCAATTTGGTAATTATTACGTACCGATCGAGTGCCATTTACCAAAGTTATATCAAAAAACTTAAGTGGATCTCTAGTTTAAAAAAAAAATGTTTCTTCAATTTTATAAATAACTTTTAAATAAAAGAACCGGATTACAGAAAGTGTGCCAGGGAGTGACTTTTTCGTTGAAGCTGAATGCAAAGCAATATCGTCCAATTGCAGACTCCTTAAAAGAATTTCCCAGGATATGTTAAAGACTATTTCATTTACCTACAGTCACCTTTTCACATAATGGAGTTAACTAAAATATTTATGTATATCTAAACACTTATTGCACGTCCCCTACTTTCATATAACGGCAAATTTAGAAACCGCTAAAAATGTGTTTCTCCGGTGACTAGTGTAACCATTCCGCACCAATCTTAAAACTGCATAAATGGACTTAAAATGGGCGTTTCTCACTCTAATTGTATTATGTTAATGTATGTAAATACTTATATGCTTACAACTATTAACTTATCAAACGATACCTAATTTTTGACAATACATGTTTGACTACATTCACTGACCAAATCGGCGTGACCAAGTCCATGGTCCTTTTAATATTATATGAACATCCGAAAACATTAAAACGTTTGAAATAAATCTCGCCCCACTTTTTTGCATTTTTCACACGGTTGCTGAAGTACTGAAGAATTGAAAACTCATATGGAAAATTATAGTTTTTGTAAGTTTTATCCTAATATCTTAAAAACTTGTAGACTTATTGAAAAATGATAAAGGAACGTAAGGTACTAAATTTAGTAACCCTTAATTTGATATATCGCCCTGATTATAACAATTAACGCATTCCATATATATTACAAGCCAAAGTTTGATTCAATTGCGCGGGCTAAAGATTAAATTATTCTTTCGTGGCCAATAACAATTGGCTTAGACCTAAGATATCATAATATTACTATTACAATAGGGTCAAATGCCTTTTATTTTCCCCCATACAAAAACGACCCAGCCTACTATCCACGTAGATCACTTTGGACCACTGCCGTCAATTAGGTCAAAGCGCAAGCATATCTTAGTTGTTGACGCATTCACTAAATATGTCAAGCTCTGTCCAACTAACTCAACTAGTACTCGAGAAGGCACGGCTGCCCTCTACCAGTATTTTAGCTATTATAGTAGGCCGAGAAGAACCATCAGCGAAAGAGGCACTTGTTCTACCTCTATCGAGTTTAGTTTATTTTTATTAAGACGAAATATAGGGCATGTGTAGGTCGCCGTGGCATATCCACAGGCCAATGGACAGGTAGAGAGAGTGAATAGGATATTAGAATTGGACAAGGGGAACACAACGGTAATAATGTACGAAAAAGAATATAAAGAAAAGACAGAGCAAATAATCAAAGAGACAAATTGTCGGATGATGAGAAAGGACCCAACCGATGACTACCAAGTGGCAGTAAAGCACGCAATAAAACAAGCAAAAACAATAATAAATCCAAGGAAAGTATATACAATGACATTAATGAATCCTTCGGCCCCTTCAATGATAGCACTCCCAAAAATACACAAGCCAGGAAATCCGATGAGACCAATTATCAACCATAAATCTGCACCAGGATACAAACTATCGAAATATTTAAAATCGTTGCTGAAAGAAAAACTGGAACTGCCCAATAAATACACAATTACGAATACAGCGGAGTTAATTGAAAGGATGAAATCGCTAGAAATACCCAAAGATGCGAAATTTGTATCATTTGATGTTAAGGATCTTTACCAATCGATACCAACGGCAGAAACAGTTACCACCTTGACTAAAACTTTGATAGAAAAAACAGACAAGAATGTAGCAACGGAAATCGTGAACACATTGAGGGTAACACCAGACCAAAACTACTTCAAGTTTAATAACAAAATATATAGACAAACTAACGGGCTAGGGATGGGTAATCCCACATCTGCAATTTTAATGGAAGTATTCATGCAACATTTAGAGGAAAAGTATATGACGGAGCTGACAACAAGCCTGGGAGTAAAGTTCTACGCAAGATACGTCGATGACATCATATGTCTTGTAACGGGAGACAAGGAAGAACAAATTCTAGGCTATCTCAACGACCAACACACGAATATAAATTTCACTATGGATAAGGAAAACGAAGGCAAAATAAACTATTTGGACATAACAATTTAAATAAATAAGGTTACCAACAAATGCGAATTCGGGATATATAGAAAGCCCACGGCCACAGACACGATAATACACAATACTTCAAACCACCCTCAACAGCACAAAAATGCAGCCTTTAGATATCTAATAACCAAGCTTTAACGAACCCCATTGGAAAAAGAAGCTTACAGCAAAGAACTTAATACGATATACGCAATCGCGGAAAATAACGGATACAGAAAGGGCCTAGTAAACAAGATAAGAAGAGAAACAAAAACGGAGAAATCAAATAAGAAGGAAAATAATGAAAAGGCTTGGGCAGTCTTGACTTATACGGGCAAAAATTGGCTAAGGTATTCCAAAATTATAACATTAATACAGCATTTAGAACGAAGGACAATGTGGGGAGGATACTACGAAATAGTGCAAACGAGGAAGACCCTCTAGACAAGCAAGGTGTATATAAGTTGCCTTGCGAATGTCAACATAGTTACATAGGACAAACAGGGTGCAAGATAAAAACAAGATATCATGAACATATAAGGTACTACAACAAGAAAATGCTAAAACCTTCTACTACCCCGGAATCGAACTTCGCAAACCATATGGCAGAAAACCATTGTACGCCAATGAAAATAGGAAAGACAGCCAAAGTTCTCCAGGTACAGCACTGTTGGGTCACGGATTGGGAGTCACTGCACTTGTCATAGATTGAGAACACCTGCAGTACATTTGTACATATCTACATTCGATTTGCCGCTTGCTAATACATCATCTCATTCGATGCACTCTCAGCGAGTTTACGTTCCAGCGCACATACTTACATACAATCATATTTGCTTGTATAGATATGTACACCTGTAAAATAATTGTTCCCCTTTTTTCTTTATGTATGTACATATATGCATGCACTCAATTGTACAATCAGACATATATATGTATTACTAAACCCTAACTTCATGCTCCCACATATCCAATTTGTATATGCACACGCGTGTATGCTTACATATTTACATATGCTAATATAGCAGCGAGAAATTTGTCACCTTGCTGTATCGCTCCTAACATTCACACATAACATAATTTGAACTAGTACACTGAATTGTATTTTTGAGAACTTTAAATAAATTAGTCTACTGTTGACCACCAAGGCGCCGAGTCTAATTTCCTTTTTATTGTGTTGGCATATCTTTAAAGGCACAGCCCAATTTTTAAAGTTTAATTTGTTTCGCTCGATTTTAGACTTGCAGTGCGGTTGGGAAAAAACCTTCCTTACCTTACATTTTGGCGCCCAACGTGAGGCTAGTGCTTTAAATCAGGTTTTTGTTCGCGTTGAAGGCTAAATAACCGTGTTAGAATTAATTTAATCTAATAAAATTTTAACGCGACTATACCAAAAATACTTTTTCGTGTTTCGCTCTTGGTGGTCATCATCTGGCTCGCGCACCATCATCCACATCATTATCGCTGGAGGACCGCATCGTTGGTTACCACCGTACATCATAGCACCATAGCAGTCCCATTCGTTCGCAATAAGTTGCACAAGGTAGGAGGAAAGTCATTGGATCAAGTGCAAGTAACAGTACAACTTTGCCGTTGGACCTAAAACAGTTGTACATCGCTAATTTGCACTTTTCGGTTTGTATTGCGGCCGCTACTCTGCTAACTCGCTGCCGGCGCTACTGCCGCTCGGTTATAAGCTGAGTGTCCACACTTAACTTGAAAACATGTTTCGCTGCCGTCACTACTGCCGCTACAGCATTAGCAGCAGCACTACACATCTACGTCGTTCATCGCATCGCATTGCTGCTGCCGTTGGCTGAACTTGGCCAGCCCGCTGCTTCGCATACATGTAATTTTCTCGTTTACGACCGACCTGCCGTAACTGCAAGTATTAGCTGCTGCCGTTGCCTTGTTTCGTCGCTGCGCCATCGCTGTTGCGCCGCTGTTGTGCAACTGAACTTCGGCAGCTCCGCTGTTTCGCATATCATTTCTTCGCTTACGATCTGCCGTCGCTTCAAGTATTTGCATTTGTCGTTACCTCGCTACGTCGTCGCATTGCCGCTGAATTTCGACAGTTCCACTGTTAGCATTTTACCATCACGCATACACTCTTCAAGCAAGTTCTATTAACACAAACGGAAATCTAGAAGATAGACTGTGAAGATGGTGGTCGTGCTGACTTGGAGGAGTTGTACATAACAGCGAAACTTACCATTCAGTCGCAGCTAGCTGAAGATCACAATTCCACGCTATCAGACACCACTTGCGTCATGCCATCTAGCTCTAAACTCCCTCAGCCCAAACTTCCATCATTCAATGGCAAGTATTCTGAGTATCGCATAACGTCATTTAAACAAATAATCGACCGTGAATTCAATTTGTCAAACATTGAGAAATTGAATCATCTGCGTAATTGTCTTCAAGGTCCTGCTCTAGAAACCATTGATGCATTTCAGGTCACTAATGAAAACTACCCCAAGGCATTGGACAGGCTGCGAGGTCGGTATGATAACCCAACACTTATATTTTTAGAAAGTATTTCGTCACTTTTTGAACTGTCGTCAGTCTCCAAGCCCAGCGGTGCGGCACTGAGAAGTCTAATCGATAAGGCGTCTGCGATCTACGGCTCACTACAGTCATTGGGAACTGACAGCCAAATCTCGCAGGCGATGTTGATCTACCTGGTCCTGCAGAAGGCTGACGAAGAGACAAATTGCAAATGGAAGGAGTCGTTGAATTTCAAAGCACTACCGACTTGGGATGACTGCACATCGAAGAGACACCAACTCTCAAACTGCCCTTCGTCGCATAAGTGCAGGGTTTGCTCTCGGCAACATCACAGCCTCCTTCACCGTGGATCTGCGCCAGACTCGTCGTCCTCAATACTACCGTCAGCCTCGAGAGAAGCTGCTGTACCCACCCACATAAACAACTCATCGTTAGATCAAGTTATTCTGGCTACTGCTATGGTTTTGGTTCGGGATGCATCTGGAGGATACCGGCTGGGAAGAGCATTGTTGGACTCATGCTCACAGGTTAATCTCATGACGGACGAGTTCTCACAAAAATTGTTGTTACCACGAAGCAAGCACAACCTCCAAATCCAAGGTATTGGTAAGTCAGCAACAAATGTTAAATTTATGACTAATACTAACATAAAATCACAAGTAACTGAGTTTGAGCTTCCGCTGCAATTTTGCATAACGTCGCATATCGCATACCAGCCGGATCCAGATATAGACATCTCTTCTTGGAACATCCCACCAAATATCGTATTGGCAGATAACACATTTCACAAATCAAAAAAAATTGATTTGCTTTTAGGTACAGAGAGTTTTTTCAGTCTGCTTGCGGTCGGTCAAATCAAACTTGGACATAATTTGCCACTCTTGCAGAAAACGTTGTTAGGCTGGGTGGTTTCAGGCCGCTATCGTACGAAGGCTACGAAGTTCTCCACCACTGCATGTCTCTTAGAATGCGATAAGTCGCTAGAAGCTATTTTAGAACGGCTATGGGTTATAGACGATGTTTCTACAACAGCAGACACGTGGACTCTTGAACAAAAGAGCGGCGAACGCCTTTACACTAACACAGTGTCACGAAATCTTAGTGGCAGAGTAATCGTCAAACTGCCATTCAATGATGATCCGGTGACTCACATACGACAGCGTTGCGGAGGTTCAACTCGTTGGAACGGCGGTTGTCACGGTCTCCAGAGCTTAAGACGCAGTACGTCGCTTTTATGGAGGAATATGAACGTCTGGGGCATATGAGCATAGTCCAACATCCAAATTTGAACGAGCCTCACTATTATATTCCACACCACTGCGTCTTGAAGCCAAACAGCACGTCGACGAAATTGAGGGTCGTTTTCGAAGCATTATGCCGAGCCACAACGCAGAAGTCGCTCAACGAAATATAAATGGTGGGACCTACACTGCAAAGCGAACTCGTACTTCTTCTTCTTCGTTTTCGCCTTAATCGTTTTGCCCTTACTGCGGACGTTGTTAAGATGTACCGGCAGATACTTGTGAGTCCAGAAGATCGAAGATTCCAATATATTTTATGGAGAAGCTCACCACACGAATCCATTCGTACCTTCCAACTCAACACGGTCACGTATGGAATGGCAGCTGCACCGTACCTCGCTGTAAGAAGTCTGCAGTATCTCGCCGAACAACACGCATCACAGTTCGAAGCTGGTTCGCAAGTCGTCTGATCATCGTTTTACGTTGACGATTTGTTGTGCGGAGCTGATACGCTCACGGAGCTAACACGTATGAAAAACGAGGTAACAGATCTTTTAAAATTAGGCGGATTCGAACTGGCAAAATGGCATTCCAACCATAAACAATTTAGAAGCGAAGGTTCCATAAAGGACCTAAAACTCGATACGTCCGTTACGAGTACTCTTGGCTTAAAGTGGAATCAAACGCATGACTCTTTTTTATTCTCTTTCGAACCTAGGCAAGGCATCAATGGGCGAGTAACGAATAGATCTATCCTCTCAATTGCGTCGTCACTGTTCGGTCCACTTGGTCTCCTGCCACCAATCATCATCACCGCTAAGATTCTTCTGCAGGAACTGTGGTTGCTTAATCTCGACTGGGATGAATCTGTTCCCCAGAATGTCCAGAGCGCTTGGTTAAACTTCGTTGCCAGTTTATCGGAACTCCCGTCAGTCAGCTTTTCACGCTATTGCCTATCGACAAATTTTAAATCTTTGTAGCTTCATGGATTCTGCGATTCTTCGATTCGCGCTTATGGTTGTGGAATTTACACACGCACCGTAGATAGCTCTGGAATTGTTACTGTTCATCTGCTTACGGCAAAGTCGAGAGTCGCACCTATCAAAAAGCAGTCACTTCCAAAGCTTGAACTCTGCGGCGCGCTTCTACTTGCTAGACTCCTTGCAAAAATAAAACCTCTTTTTTTCTAATTATAATTTCGATGTTTATCTTTGGACAGACACGCAGATTGTACTTCACTGGCTCAAACTGCATTCTGCTACGCTATCTACCTTCGTTGGCAACAGAGTATCGGAGATACAAGATTTGACTGCTGGTGCTCACTGGAAACACGTACCAACAAACAGCAATCCAGCGGACATCGTGTCCCGAGGAAGTACAGCTGCGGAACTGGCGAGTTCGATATGGCATACTGGACCCCCGTTTCTGTCCGAGGACTTGAGCAAGTGGCCTAAGCAAAGGAGCGAATATATTAACATGGAAATAGTAAATTCGGAGAGGAGAAAATCGGTATTCAAGGTAATGGTACAACCCAACTATATTCTCGAAATTATCGACAGGTGCAGCTCTTACACTCGTGGACTACGATTAGTTGCCTGGATACTTCGGTTTTACACGAAGATACGCAAGCATCAAATGAAACACTAGACCGAAACCCTCTCGCCTGAGGAATTACATCACTCATTGCTGTGCATCTTTTGGAACGTGCGGCAAAAATATCTCGCTGACGACATTCGTTTGATACAAAGAGGGTCAACGACAAATGGCACTCTGCGTTACCTTAACCCCTTCTTGGATTGTACGGAAGGGTTCGAATTATTGAAGGTTGGTGGACGACTCGAGTTGGCAGACCTACCAGAATGTCGAAAACACCCAATTTTGCTTCCCAGAAAATGCAGCTTCGTAGAGCGTTACGTGCGTCATTTACACCTAAAAAACTACCACGCTGGTCCTAAAGCGCTGGTAGCATTGATTCGCCTCCAGTTCTGGATTATTAATGCGCGCGACGTAGCGAGGCGTATTGTCAGGTCCTGCATCCACTGCGTTCGGTACAAACCTATGCTGCTGCAACAGATGATGGGAAACCTAGCAGTGGAGCGTTTAACACCATCGCGTCCATTCGCTCGCTGCGGAATCGACTTCTGTGGGCCGGTCAACATTTATTTACGTATTCGTGGCAAGGCACCCTACAAGGCCTACAATGCTATTTTTGTGTGCCTAGCGACTAAGGCGGTACACATAGAGGTCGTCTCAGACCTAACAACGGATGCTTTTCTGGCATCGCTCAAGCGGATGATAGGGCGAAGAGGTCTTCCAACCGACATATTTTGTGACAATGCAATTTTGTTGGTGCCTGCAACAAGCTTACTGAGTTAAAGGCATTCATGTTTAAAAAGTCAAATCAAGACATCATTTCCAAATATTGTACTAATGAATTTAAACATTTTCATTTTATTCCCCCCAGAGCACCGCACTTCGGCGGTATTTGGGAGGCCGCTGTCAAATCGGCAAAGGGACACTGGAATCGCAGCGTAATGAATGCCAAGCTTACGTTTGAAGAGTGATCGACAGTCCTGGTCGAAATTGAAGCCTTGCTTAACTCACGACCAATCGCACCTCTTTCATCCGATCCCAATGACTATGACGCATTTACTCCTGGCCATTTTATCATCGGAGGTGCTCTAAAGGGTCTGCCGGAGCGAACAATTCCAAAGCACATCAACCACACTGAAAAATGAGCTCAAATCACTGCCATAAAACAAAGGTTTTGGAACCGCTGGTCCCACGAATACTTAAACAAGCTTCAGATGCGTACAAAATGGGTTCTGATCGTCCAAATATTAGCAAGGACACACTAATCATCCATGAGGATAACGTGCCACCACAACGGTGGCAAATGGGTCGCATCGTCAACTCAATCGCGGAAAAGGATGCGCGCGTTCAAGTGGTTGATATACGTACTGCAAGAGGAATCATTCGGCGTCCAATACACAAAATCGCCATTCTTCCTGCTTGAAAGTTCTTTCAAAGGGGCCGGGATGTTGGGTCACGGATTGGGAGTCACTGCACTTGTCATAGATTGAGAACACCTGCAGTACATTTGTACATATCTACATTCGATTTACCGCTTGCTAATACATCATCTCATTCGATGCACTCTCAGCGAGTTAACGTTCCAGCGCACATACTTACATACAATCATATTTACTTGTATAGATATGTACACCTGTAAAATAATTGTTCCCCTTTTTATTACCTTCCTTTTATTAACTCAGGATGTAACTATGTAATATTGATGCGCCTAAAAAATGCAGCGATTTCTATTCTCAAGTTGCATACCTGATGACAGTACGAATGGCAATTATAATAGGGAGGTTTTTGTTTTTTAAACTATAATTTTATTTCTTTACGTATGTACATATGTGCATGTACTCAATTGTACAATCAGACATACATATATATGTATTACTAAACCCTTCATGCTCCCACGTATCTAATTTGTATATACACACGCATGTATGCTTACATATTTACATATGCTAATATAGCAGCGAGAAATTTGTCACCTTGCTGTATCACTCCTTCGTATGTGCATACATATTAACATTCACACATACATTCATTACCCAACATAATTTGAGCTAGTACACTGAATTGTATTTTTGAGAACTTTAAATAAATTAGTCTACTGTTGACCACCAACGCGCCGAGTCTAATTTCCTTTTTATTGTGTTGGCATATCTTTAAAGGAACAGCCCAATTTTTAAAGTTTAATTTGTTTCGCTCGATTTTAGATTTGCAGTGCGGTTGGGAAAAAACCTTCCTTACCCTACAAGCACAAAGGACAACGCCTAACCGTATTAGAGAATATACAGATATACAAACAAAAGACGTTCGTCGGAAAAATAATAAATGAGCAAATAAACACCGCATCTGATATATTATTCGAACCACTCAGGCTAGTATACGCAAAACAAAACAGAAACCCTGCAACTACCATAAACAATGAAATGCAGGTCCAAACTACAGAAACAAAAAGAAAGAAAATAACTGATTTTTACCTACCTGCGAATCCATGCAACAATTAATCAAAAAAGAGGTGAGCAGCTAATTTCTACCTGAGGATGTACACACAGAACTGAAACTACTGGTTGAACGAAAGAATATAATCCGCTGAGACGTACCTAACTATGAACCAACGACGATTTAACACGGCTATAAATAGTGACAGACAAACAGAAACTATTCAGAACGAAAAATGACACTGAAGATGGCACAACGACGAAACCGGTTTGTCTCCAAATCAAATTTGACAAGGGATGACGGAAAATCGTTCCAAATTACATCACACTCCTACCCTGTCGGAAACACCAACAACGAAAATGAGAATATTAATGCCAGTCAGGCTTATCACTCAAGGACGATTACGCTTTTGACAACATACCAAAGAAGACAATTGACAATACACAACACCAACGCAAACATCTGGTTCAATAAACAATGTGTAACACTAAATGTTACGCCGAAATTCGCAAGAATTAATTTAAAATCGAGCACAGAGCAAAGGTGAAAGATCGTGAAAAGAGCAGAAAACAGCTTCCTTCGACATGAAATTAACAACCTGTATGCCAAAAAAAGAACGCACAAATGAGCTACTTTCCATTCATTTAGAACTAGCGGAACTCCTTCCTGTCAGCACGCTCCTGGAGATATTAGATGAAATAAAGGAGAATATCAGTAAATCTATGGGACAAAAATACAATAAATTAAACAAAAAACTCGATGACCTCAATAGAAAGGAAAACATCACAAAGAACATACAACACATCGAAATGCCTTTCCATTCCAGATTCGTAAATTTGACTAAGGTTCCCATTAGCAAACAAGAGACAGAAATATTGGAAAAAGGTCTGAAACACAACATAGAAAATCATGATAAAAATAAAGAGGTAGAGCACACTATTGTAGACGCGGAAATGGCCATATCATTACTACCAAGCGAGAATCAAGATCATGCAAGACACATATGTAGACGTATAATTGAAAAACGCATAGAATCTATGGATAAGAAAAAACTAAGCGACGAAAATAAAACTGTCAAAGGGCTAAAGAAAAAACTCAAAACGAATAAAGTAATCACAACAAAAGCAGACAAGGGGAACACAACGGTAATAATGTACGAAAAAGAATATAAAGAAAAGACAGAGCAACTAATCAAAGAGACAAATTGTCGGATGATGAGAAAGGACCCAACCGATGACTACCAAGTGGCAGTAAAGCACGCAATAAAACAAGCAAAAACAATAATAAATCCAAGGAAAGCATATACAATGACATTAATGAATCCTTCGGCCCCTTCAATGATAGCACTCCCAAAAATACACAAGCCAGGAAATCCGATGAGACCAATTATCAACCATAAATCTGCACCAGGATACAAACTATCGAAATATCTAAAATCGTTGCTGAAAGAAAAACTGGAACTGCCCAATAAATACACAATTACGAATACAGCGGAGTTAATTGAAAGGATGAAATCGCTAGAAATACCCAAAGATGCGAAATTTGTATCATTTGATGTTAAGGATCTTTACCCATCGATACCAACGGCAGAAACAGTTACCATCTTGACTAAAACTTTGATAGATAAAACAGACAACAACGTAGCAACGGAAATCGTTAACACATTGAGGCTAACACTAGACCAAAACTACTCCAAGTTTAATAACAAAATATATAGACAAACTAACGGGCTAGGGATGGGTAATCCCACATCTACAATTTTAATGGAAGTATTCATGCAACATTTAGAGGAAAAGCATATGACGGAGCTGACAACAAGCCTGGGAGTAAAGTTCTACGCAAGATACGTCGATGACATCATATGTCTTGTAACGGGAGACAAGGAAGAACAAATTCTAGGTTATCTCAACGACCAACACACGATTATAAATTTCACTATGGATAAGGAAAACGAAGGCAAAATAAACTATTTGGACATAACAATTAAAATACATAAGGTTACCAACAAATGCGAATTCGGGATATATAGAAAGCCCACGGCCAGAGACATGATTATACACAGAACTTCAAACAACCCTCAACATCTAATAACCAGGCTTGAACGAACCCTTATGAACTTAATATTATATACGCAATCGCGGAAAATAACGGATACAGAAAGGGCCTAGTAAACAAGATAAGAAGAGAAACAAAAACGGAGAAATCCAATAAGAAGGAAAATAATGAGAAGCCTTGGGCAGTCTTGACTTATACGGGCAAAACTTCATATAAATTGGCTAAGGTATTCCAAAAGTATAACATTAATACAGCATTTAGAACGAAGGACAATATGGGGAGGATACTACGAAATAGTGCAAACGAGAAAGACCCACTAGCCAAGCAAGGTGTATATAAGTTGACTTGCGAATGTCAACATAGTTACATAGGACAAACAGGGCGCACGATAAAAACAAGATATCGTGAACATATAAGGGACTACAACAAAAAAATGCTAAAACCTTCTACCACCCCGGAATCGAACTTCGCAAACCATATGGCAGAAAACCATTGTACGCCAATGAAAATAGGAAAGACAGCCAATGTTCTCCATGTACAGCACAAAGGACAACGCCTAAACGTATTAGAGAATATGGAGATATACTAACAAAAGACGTTCGTCGGAAAAATAATAAATGAGCAAATAAACACCGCATATGATATATTATTCGAACCACTCAGGCTAGTATACGCAAAACAAAACAGAAACCCTGCAACTACCATAAACAATGAAATGCAGGTCCAAACTACAGAAACAAAAAGAAAGAAAATAACTAATTTTTACCTACCTGCGAATCCATGCAACAATTAATCAAAAAAGAGGTGAGCAGCTAATTTAGAACTGAAACTACTGGTTGAACGAAAGAATATAATCCGCTGAGACGTACCTAACTATGAACCAACGACGATTTAACACGGCTATAAATAGTGACAGACAAACAGAACCTATTCAGAACGAAAAATGACACTGAAGATGGCACAACGCCGAAACCGGTTTGTCTCCAAACCAAATTTGACAAGGGATGACGGAAAATCGTTCCACATTACATCACACTCCTACCCTGTCGGAAACACCAACAACGAAAATTAGGATATTAGAATCCATGCTGGGGAATTTGGGAGACCCCATTAACCATGATGTCCGAATTATTAATAGCGTATTTACTTGAAGTCAAATACGCTATTAATAATTCGGTGCACAGCTCTTGCCGCGACACCCCGGGCCGACTCCTGTTTGATGTTGAGCAACGAGGGGTGATAATTGACGAATTTACGGAATACTTTCAAGAGAAACTGTGCCCGAACGAAGGACGAGACTTGGACCGAAGCTTCACTTATGATTACACTGTAGGTAAATTTAAAAGGTTTTGAAATATCACAGCTAAATGGCCAAACGATAACTGATCTTACTTAACTGGGATCTTTTAAATTCAATGGCGTCCTCCGTTTTTCCAGATTGGCTCTAGTTTTCGAGATAACAGTGCTTGAAAATCTGCCTAAATTTTAGGTTTTTTGTTAATAATTACCTCAGGTTTAAGGTTATTTTACTAAAATTTTGCACGTGCCTGTATTTTGATATTACCTTAGCTATTTCTGAAAATCATGGAAATCGGTTCACTATAACATATAGCTCCCACACAAATGATTGTTCAGATATGTGGTTTTGCGTTACAACTCATATTTTATTTCGTAATATTTTTTTATAATATTAGTTTATATACTATTTGGACCAAAATTTGGGTTCTCTTCAATCCCGTTTTGGCATATTTTGCTAGTTTCTATTGCTCTAAAGATTTTTTTAATATCCTTTGCCTCCTGTGATCGACCAGCAAAAGTCCGCCAACATTGAATTCAATGGTTTTCCAGCGAATCGGTCCTCAAAACACATAATGGATTGGTGAAATCTCTCTCCTACCTCGTCGGTTTCTGTTGAAAGCTTTTGCTCGTAAAAGTCAAAGTGGATTTTAAGCGACATGTGAACATCAAAGGCGTCAAAAGATTCCATCAAGTTCGCAATAAAAATGGCATATTCTGGTGAATGATTTTTACACAGAACGTGTTTAATTAAAGCCCGAACTGCATCCCATGCAACGGCTGCTGTGCAATCAAGAATTTCCAAGAAGCCTTGATCCTTCATTAATCTTCTGACCCATTCCGACCCATTAAGCACACCTGAAATAAAAATTATAGGGTTCTTAAAGCAAGAGAGAGATATAATAAAATATATGAGCGAAAATCTCTCAAATGGGCCACCCAAAATTGGACGATCAAGATATTTTTGCACAAATCACTTTATTCGGTTTACAACCACAGAGATTTTCCTTCATATACAATCAAAAAACTACTTCATGGATTTTTTCAACGGAAAGTTTTGGAAAGGCATTATTTTTCAAATATAGGAATGCAGTTTCGTTGACTCTAACCAAGTGTTTGATGTAATTCTTAACAACACCAATTTTGATATGTAAATCGGGAAGCATGATTTTATTAAGCGCTATCAAGGGCTCGCGAACTATATTGAATTGACCAATCGATTGTTCCTTTCTTTTTGGTCAATCACATTTCTATAGTGATTGCATTTGACTCTACTATCCCAANTGATTGTTCAGATATGTGGTTTTGCGTTACAACTCATATTTTATTTCGTAATATTTTTTTATAATATTAGTTTATATACTATTTGGACCAAAATTTGGGTTCTCTTCAATCCCGTTTTGGCATATTTTGCTAGTTTCTATTGCTCTAAAGATTTTTTTAATATCCTTTGCCTCCTGTGATCGACCAGCAAAAGTCCGCCAACATTGAATTCAATGGTTTTCCAGCGAATCGGTCCTCAAAACACATAATGGATTGGTGAAATCTCTCTCCTACCTCGTCGGTTTCTGTTGAAAGCTTTTGCTCGTAAAAGTCAAAGTGGATTTTAAGCGACATGTGAACATCAAAGGCGTCAAAAGATTCCATCAAGTTCGCAATAAAAATGGCATATTCTGGTGAATGATTTTTACACAGAACGTGTTTAATTAAAGCCCGAACTGCATCCCATGCAACGGCTGCTGTGCAATCAAGAATTTCCAAGAAGCCTTGATCCTTCATTAATCTTCTGACCCATTCCGACCCATTAAGCACACCTGAAATAAAAATTATAGGGTTCTTAAAGCAAGAGAGAGATATAATAAAATATATGAGCGAAAATCTCTCAAATGGGCCACCCAAAATTGGACGATCAAGATATTTTTGCACAAATCACTTTATTCGGTTTACAACCACAGAGATTTTCCTTCATATACAATCAAAAAACTACTTCATGGATTTTTTCAACGGAAAGTTTTGGAAAGGCATTATTTTTCAAATATAGGAATGCAGTTTCGTTGACTCTAACCAAGTGTTTGATGTAATTCTTAACAACACCAATTTTGATATGTAAATCGGGAAGCATGATTTTATTAAGCGCTATCAAGGGCTCGCGAACTATATTGAATTGACCAATCGATTGTTCCTTTCTTTTTGGTCAATCACATTTCTATAGTGATTGCATTTGACTCTACTATCCCAATAACAGAACAAACAACAGTATGCCTGATAGTAGTGAGAGAACTTTAAAACCACAGTTCGCGCGCCACCTGTGCTCTTCGTACTTGATGCAATCTAAGATTAATTGCATTGTTTCCTATGATTCCTTTATTCCAACCGCATACAAGATGGGAACGGGTTTCTTGCTACTATCGCGATAGAGCAAGACTGCTTTCAAACTTCGCTTTGATGCGTCAATAAATAGACGCCATTGTTCGGGTTTATAGTCAGTAATTCCCATTTCATTCATCAAATCTGCAACATCAATGCAATAAGCCTGAGTGCCATCTTCCGATAACTTGAAATATGGCATAACCGGATCTTGTCTATGTTTGTAGGCCGTTACTTTTACTCCTGGTCCTAAAACATTCACGCTTTTCAGTTCTGATGCCAAAATCATTGCGTTGTTATGGGAGAGATATGATTTACGCACCATGCTGTTTAGGTGTTCTTGGGATATGAAAGACGGTAAATTGTTTTCAATCGTAATGTAATCTGATCCACCATCAAGTGGTAATGGTGTTGCTTGCCATAGACTGTTTGCAATCATAGACAGTTTCGGGTTCGGATGGATGATTTGGAACTTGTAATGCATCACTATGTGCCACAGGTAAATGAGCGCTCGGTACAGCTTTGTAGACGACACAAGACCGATCTATTGAGTTAAATATTTATAAGTATATGTACGTACATATATATACATATATCGTGCGTTCTTCAATCAAATTCTGAAGTAGGGCGTTGTTGAAAAGTTTTCTGAGGGCGTTTTCGAACTGGCTGCCGAGATAGGTAGATCTTCCACTCAGCCATCGATATACAAATGTTAAGTTTGTTTGTTCGGCGGGCAAAAACTAAAAAAGTTCTGCACCATTTTTTTTTTTAATTTGGACATCTGCTGCAGACTTTCCAAGGTTGGTTATACTTAGGCGTGGTACCTTCCAAACATACAGAAACTTTTACCTATTTCATACACTCAGCGATTAAGGTGAGGGCGAACTATACATAATTTCATGGTTTTATTTAAATTTACTTACTTTTTCGATTGAAAGCAAATGTATTGTTGGTGCATGCATAACAATTTTCAGCTTCGTGTTTTCCGGGATTTGTCCAAATAATTGGTAAACCGAATGGTAACGAAAATCGTTTTTTGTCCACCAAAAATTCATCGCACTAATGCATGAAATACATGTAAATTCGGGAGAGTATTTATTTTGTGCAGGTTCAGATTGGAAAAAGTGCCATATATAGCATGCTAGTGCATTTTTATTTGAGACTAATTTACGCTGGTCTGATTTCAAAATGAATTTACCACAAACGAAACAAAGCTTCTTTAATGTATTGCAAAGCTTTTTAATTTTTTTCATCTTTAGGAGTTTACGAAGACAATGATATGATGAATAAAAATTGTTCGCAAAATTTTCGATTTTTTTATCAATTAATATGACAGTAATCGCGCGCGTAGATTTTCGGTTTGTGTTTTTTGGTTCCCAACTTATGTGAAATATACGCGGTATAGACCGCCGCCTATTTGAAAGCATTACTCAGTCACTTTGACTTTAACGAACAACAGCTTTCACAGTACAAAAAAGGCATTAAAAAGCCATTCGCACAACAGAAACTGCAAAAATATGCCAGAGTGGGATTGAAAAGAACCCAAATTCAGGTTCAAGCAGTGTATAAACTTCTATTATAAAAAATATTACGAAATAAAATATGAGTTGTAACGCAAAACCACATATCTGAACAATCAGTTGTATGGGAGCTATATGCTATAGTGAACCGATTTCCATGATTTTCAGAAATAGCTAAGGTAATGGCAAAATACAGTCACGTGTAAAATAACCTTAAAACTGAGGTAATTATTAACAAAAAACCTAAAATTTAAGCAGAGAAGCACCGTTATCTCGAAAACTGGAGCCAACCTGGTAAAACGGAGGACGCCATTGAATTTAAAAGATCCCAGTTAAGTAAGATCAGTTATCAAAACCTTTGCCCAGAAAAAAAATCAAAACCTGAGCACAGCCCTGCAGGGAAACCGCGGACTAGTGAATCAAATTTCTAGTTGCGTACTTGGTCTTTATCGCCAAAAAGGAGCTAGTCCGATAGGATCTAGATCCCCACCAGTCCAAAATCGGCGAAAAGTGGTACTATTAAGAAACTAATTTTTTCAGTTTTTTTCACTAAAAATCTATATCTAAAGTGACGAATTTAGAAATGGTTCGGAACTATAGAAAAAGGGATGCAGAACGAACTAGATCTTATTTGTCGAATTTAGAACTAATTCGGAACTACCGAATAAGGGATGCAGCGGGGGGCTTGTTTACTTTACATAGATATGTGTTCGGCGGCTTTTTCGATCAAATACGCTTCTATTCTGCGCTTCGCATTTCAACATCTTGGGACCGTCTGGAATCTAAGAAATAACAGCGAGCACCTCTGCAAACTTAGCTACAGCTAAAAGTATGTAAACGTACATTTCTTACAATCATTCAAACAAATTTAATTTCAAATTGAAAACACATTTCTTCCAAAATAACTTAAAATCGCACACACGGAAGAACCAAAAAGATTGAAAAATCATGATACTTTTTTCTTTCGTCTGTCGATTTTAGAACTGGTTCGGAACTATAGAATTTAGGACTAGTTCGGAACTATCGAAAAAGGGATGCAGCGGGGGGCAATTGACACTTCCTAGGACATCGCCATGGTAAATTCGCCAGTTGCTTGCATGCAAAAGAGATTTAACGCGAACCAGTACTGGGTCTAAATGTACTAGAAGCGCACCAGTTCAGAACTAGAGATTTTCCCCACAGGGAGTCTTTTAAACGACGAAAGATTCACTTTCAGAACTGTAAAACTTCCCCCCTAAATATCTCAAAATTTTGACGTGATACGGATTTTCTGAAAACGCCATCGTAATCAAGAGGCCAAAATTAAGTTTACGTATTTGGCCGTTTAGCTGTGATATTTTTTCCTCCCTACTGTGTTATCGGTTAAATTAGTGGGAAAACTGACTAAACCCTTTCCTCAGTTTAGCGGTTAGTTTTGTATGGGCTTGGGGAAAAATATGAGCATTTCTCCGGCTGTGTGGTAGTGCATCCCTTTCTTGTATACACATGGGCGGATTTTCTTAACAGTATGTTCACTAGGGTGGTCCGAAAATGCATGTGAAAAAGTAAAGTCGGAATTTTTATGCTCTCGCCCCCTAAGATTATTCTATACCGAAAAACCCTATACCCTATTTTTTATTTTGAAATCAAAAAATATTTAGAGGTCGCTCAAAGCGCCCAAAGTTTTACATGTATTTTATATGGGGAAAAACAACTTTTCGTAGAAATGGTATAGACTTCTTAAAAATCAATATTTTTCTATGTGAAAACTCTGTTTATCTGCAGGAGATATTTTGATCCCAACTATAATTTATAGGTCCACCATAAACCCCAGAAAACCCCGAAAAATGCTGGTATTAAAAAATGGTTAAATAAACAATTGGGTCTCTTGAAGAGCACAAGAGTTTTCCGATCGAAAAGTATTAATTTTCAAGAATTCTATACCATTTCTACTAAAAGTTGCTTTTTCCCCATATAAAAATACAATAAAAATACATGGAAAACTGTGAGCGCTTTGAGCGACCTCTAAATGTTTTTTGATTTAAAAATAAAAAATAGGGGTATACTTTTTTCGATATAGAACAATCCTAGCGGGTGAGAGCATTACAATTCCGACTTTACTGGTTTTGGACCACCCTAATGTTAACTCGCTCATACATGTCATCTATGTAGTTGGTGATGTACAAGTGAATTTAGCGATGAAACTATTGGGAAAATATCACGATACTTAGAAATTTTTCTGACCACTATTCTGACTTCTAAATAATTGATAAATTAGTGAGTAGATGTCAGCGAAATATCCAAGTGCGTGAAACCAAATTAAAAAATACACTTTGATTGTTTTTTTTTATTTATTTGTAACAATATATTGGGCATACATCAAGATAACCAACCGTTCAGCTATAGAAAAACTAAAAATGCAGATTGCTAGTACTTTTTACGCTGATTTTAACTATATAAATATTATTTGCCGCAATTAAAAAGCAAAGCAGATATAAGAGGTAAAACAAAAAAATTGTGATATTTTAAAAAATTAATATTTTCTAAACTGCGTAACCGATTTAAAAACTAATGATGTGAAAATAAAGACAATTAATTTATCTTCAAGCTGATATATAAAATGTGTATGCTTTTTTATATATTTAAGCCAAAAATATTATAAAACCAAAAAAATGTCATAATAATAAAATGTAATAAACCTTTTTTAGAAAAAGTCCATAATCAATGCTAAACAAATTTATATTATTTAAAAAGTGCAAGTTCTTACCTTTGATTTGATATACTTATTATATTATGATTTGCTTTTGAGTTTTCAGAATTCAGTGATAATAAAAAATATAAATGCATGTATGTGCAAATGCATATTTTAGTTAATTAAACAAGGCGAGTTAACGGACTTTTTTGGAAAGGGTACTATTTTTGTTGGAAGCGGGAAAATTTATGCCGTTTTATATGTACATATATGTATATACTTACAGCTATTTTTCATTTGTTTGTGTTCCGGCGGAGATAAAAAACGTGTTTTGAATATTTTTTTAAAAAGATGAATACTCTTAATTTATTTAAAATATATAAAATGTTTGAAAGTGAGGACGGTCTTAAGATTAATGCAAATATGCTCGAACAGTTGCAGGAGTGGAATTTAATTCCTCGTGAAGGGCAATATTTATGCGCTCGGGGCCATCCGCTGAAATTGTTGGAGTGCACTGCATCATCGGATGGATTCGTTTGGAGGTAAGTTTACCGTGCGTCTATTAAACTGTAATACAAAAAAACATTATGTGTAGGTGCCGTAAAATTTCGAAGTCTGGAAAGCAAGTGCGAACGTGTAATCAGCAAATTTCATTAAGAAAAAACACATTCTTTGATAGGTCGAGGCTATCGATGGTGAAGCTCATTGCATTTTCTTACTTTTGGTTGAAGAATGTGACACAAGATTTTATAATTGAGGAGTTAAGTATTACAAGACCGACCGCTGTTGATTGGTGTAATTTTTGCCGTGAGGTAGTGTAAGGCGGCATGGTTGTAAAGGGGCGGAAAATTGGAGGTGTCGGGTCTATTGTTGAGATAGACGAAAGCAAATTCGGACGCCGGAAGTATCATCGTGGACACGCTGTTGAAGGGCAATGGGTTTTTGGTGGAGTGGAGCGTGGTACCAATAAGTGTTTTCTTGTTCCCGTTGAAAAGCGGGATAAGGAAACTTTATTGGCAGTTATAAAGAATTGGATTCTTCCTAACACGACCATAGTTTCCGATTTTTGGAAGGTGAGTTTAATGCCTATGTGCCTATATATGTGTATATAAATATAAATATATATATATATAAATTTAAAATGTTTTTCGTTGCAGGCGTATGACTGCCTAAGTGATGAAGGGTACGTTCACTTTAAAGTTAATTTTAAAGACCCAGAAACGCAACAACACACAAATACAATTGAGGGACTTTGGCGGCATGTCAAATATTCAATTCCGCAGTACCATCGAAACAAAAATGGTTTTTAGTGGATATTTGGCAAAATTTATGTTTGTGAGGCATTGCAAACATGCAGGTTTGGATCCGCTGAGCAATTTTTTTAAACTGGCTGGTGCATTATACAATCCACTGAATCCATACATGCCGGAAGAAGCAGAGGATTTTGAAATTGAGGTTATGGAAGAAGAGTAGGTGTAGCTTTTAATGATTTCTGTAAGCTCTTTTAAGAATAAATTAATAATTTATAGGAGGAAGTCGAATATTTTGTTTTTGAAGTTGAAAAAAGTGATGTGTTTTTATTGTCTGGCAACACAGAAAGGAGAATTTTACTTAGTAAGGGTTATGATCCATAAGCGCGGCCGAAGGCCGCCTACGCAGAAAAAAGTTCTGCGCAAAAGAAACTATGGTATCACTCTTATGCTGTGAGGGTTATAATCACTAAGTGCGGCCGAAGGCCGCCTACGTAGAAAGGTGTTCTCTGGAAAAGGAGTTCAGCCTCACTTCTTCGGCAACACAGAAAGGAGAATTCTACTTAGTGAGGGTTATAATCACTAAGTGCGGCCGAAGGCCGCCTACGCAGAAAGGTGTTCTCTACAAAAGGTGTTCAGCTTCACTTCTTCAGCAACACAGAAAGGAGAATTCTACTTAGTGAGGGTTATAATCACTAAGTGCGGCCGAAGGCCGCCTACGCAGAAAGAAGTTCTGGGCAAAAGAAACTATGATATCACCCACACTTGTCACTTTTGCTTGTAAATGCTTTTAATTTTTTTTATCACTAAATTCTTAAACCTCAAAAGTAGATCACAATAAAATATGCATATCAAATTAAAGGTAAGAACTTGCACTTTCTAAATAATATATATGTCTTTAGCATTTATTATGCACTTTTTTCTAAAAAAGGTTATTTTATGAAAAAATTATAACATTTTATTTGTTTTTTAATATTTTTGGCTTAAATATATAAGCAAGCAAACGCATTTTATATATGAGCTTAAAGATGGATTAATTTCCCTTATTTTTATATAATTACTTTTTTAATCGGTTACGTAGTTTATAAAATATAATTATTTTAAAATATCACAAAAATTTTCTTTAACCTTTTATACCTTCTTTAATTTCTAATCGCGGCAAATAATATTTACATAGTTGAAATCAGCGTAAAAAGTACTATCGGTCTGCATTTTTAGTTTTTCTATATCTGAACGGTTGATTATCTTGATGTGTTCCATATATTGTCGAATATTAAATTAATTTCGCAAGCTTTTTCAGAGCTATTGAGCTCAGACAATTATTTTAATTTTCATAGGAGTCTGAATTTCTGCAGCGCCGATTAGTCCTTCTGCTCCCATTGCTAGGTTCTGCTGTAGCCCCACGTTGGCGTTGCATTGTATTTCAACACCGGAGTCACTGTTCCCACAGTCGGACTTAGTGTAATGGCGATGTGGCAACAACTTACATGGCAACACTTATGTTGCCCAAAATAATAAAATTACATCGCGTGTGTTGCCGAGCTTACGATTCACAGTCGTTTTAGAAGGTGTGTTGTAAGTCGGCTTCGAGGAAGCGATTCATTCGCTAGTTGACATTTAAATCCATCGGTTCTCCGCCAATTGTTAAAGTAAAATGAAATTAATTGTCTTTTATTAAAGTTTCAGTTTATTAACGCGGGCGCCAAACCGATAGCAGCAGCAGTGTTTGTGTGCGTTTCCGAGGCCAAGGAGCAGAAAAGCTGATTGCGTTTCTTCACTATCAAGCAGCGCATACGTTTTCGTGGGTGAGCCAGTAAGTTTTTTTTTTTGATTCTTTGGGTGCTACGCCCCACGTACTAAGGGGACATTAAATGGAGACCGTGATACGCAGCCACGGAGTGTGCGAAGTCCGAAAATGAAAAAGCTGTAAAACAGCAAATACCTTGGTGGTCATGGGTGAGTATTGTGGAAATTTTGGTGCCGTGGTTGTGTAAAAATTAGTGTGGAAAAAAACCCTACAGCAGATTTAATACCGTACAGTAGGGCTGATACCGTACAGCACCGTAAAAACGGCAAATATAGTTTTCAGCATCATACAGCGTTTGTGGCACTGTACACGAAACACACTACCGTTACCATACATGCCAGCGGTTTGTGAATAGCGGATCCCACGCAACTGCAAACCCACGCCACTCCTTGTACAGCACCAAAAGAGTGCGATAGCAGCAACATTATGACAGCAGCGTGGGCGGCCGAAGAATAGCGGCATATAATAGCCAACAAGATTTTCTGAGACTGCGGCGAGGGATACCGTATAGCGCAAATAGCCGAACACCTAGCAACAAATGAATGAATATATGAAGCTTTTATAATTAGATATTTTTAACAAGTTTTGCAATTTCAAAAAGTTTTCCCATATAAAGTGGATACCACTTTGATTTGTGTGTGCTGCGAAATTGGGATTTCTAATTCTTTCATATTTAAGCTAAGCAAAAAAAATTGTATTTATGTACATACATGTACCTCAATTTTTCTAGCCTTAAGTGCTTTATTTGATTAACACAAAATTGTCGAATTTATGATTGAACCATCTACATATGTACATATACATATATGTTTCTAGAACTAAGTGCTCCATTTGGTTAACAAATTAAAATACAAATTTTCCGAAATTGAATACGTATAAGTGAACTGAAGGTTCTGCAATTATGTAGGTACATACCAGGGTTGTTGCGAATATTCGCATTCGCTACCGCGGAGCTTCCGCATTAATTTTGACATTCGCATTCGCTTTCGCATTCGCAATAATCGATGCGGATCTTTTGCGAATGCGAATATTGAAGGGACCGAAAGTAACAGACAGTAAACAAACCACTTATCCAAATTAAACAAGTTTGGTATCAAATGAAAGAGGACGTAAATAGCCTTAGAACTGAAATGTCTAAACAAGCAAATTCACATATTGAAAAATATTGCAATAAAAAATGATAATTAGTTAGCATAGACCAAACCTTGGGTCAGGTATATGTTTTTCTTTAGTATTAAATGATATAAAAAAAATATATTAATAGAGGTGGTAACCTTCGTTCGTTATTTCTGTTTAAAAGCTATTTCAGTCCTCTTTCACATGATACCAAATTTGTTTAATTTTGATAAGCTGTTTGTTTATTGTCAAAAAAAAACTTTCGGAATAAAAAATATTAGGCCAAGTTTAACTGGTAAAAAAATAACTGTTATTTTCGGTCCCTGGAATATTATGCAAGTGCAATGATAAAACGTATATATGGCGGGTCACATAAGAAAGGATCAAAAATGAATTACAAAAACTAAAATCGAAAAACGCTGTTGACGTTACTGGTTCAACGCATTCAGAAACAACCAAAAGAATCAGAATGAAGAACTCTTTGGAAAACAACGGTGTTTAAATAACGATCTTGCCATGATACTAGTCAGGAGGATACATACGACATTTGCAGACCGATGCAATTCCCATAAAAGAATTATTGCACCCCAATAAAATAAAATATAAATATAACTGAAAGACCTCTCGACTGGTGCAGCGTCAATCGAAAAGAATTTACAATTTTGTCAAGTTTCAAGTTTTTCGCAGCGAGCGAGTAGTTATTTAGTGGCGCAGGTTTGATTTACGACCCTTTAAAAACTTTTTATTGAATACAATGTTCCAAATTATTTAATTCAAGTACTAAAAAAAAATTATTAAAAATTACTAACCTTTCAATTTTTTATTTAACTAAATCACCTAATTTACTCACCTACATTATTTCTTAACAAGTAAACAAGTCTAAGTTCGGGCGGAGCCGAACATTAAATACCCGGCGCAAGTATTCGATATAGTTTTTTCACCTTACCGAAAACTACCGCTACATGGTAAGCAGTGTTGGTTTTACGTCTATTTCAAACATCTTCGATAGAACGTTCAGTTAGACATAACGAGATNCGATGCGGATCTTTTGCGAATGCGAATATTGAAGGGACCGAAAGTAACAGACAGTAAACAAACCACTTATCCAAATTAAACAAGTTTGGTATCAAATGAAAGAGGACGTAAATAGCCTTAGAACTGAAATGTCTAAACAAGCAAATTCACATATTGAAAAATATTGCAATAAAAAATGATAATTAGTTAGCATAGACCAAACCTTGGGTCAGGTATATGTTTTTCTTTAGTATTAAATGATATAAAAAAAATATATTAATAGAGGTGGTAACCTTCGTTCGTTATTTCTGTTTAAAAGCTATTTCAGTCCTCTTTCACATGATACCAAATTTGTTTAATTTTGATAAGCTGTTTGTTTATTGTCAAAAAAAAACTTTCGGAATAAAAAATATTAGGCCAAGTTTAACTGGTAAAAAAATAACTGTTATTTTCGGTCCCTGGAATATTATGCAAGTGCAATGATAAAACGTATATATGGCGGGTCACATAAGAAAGGATCAAAAATGAATTACAAAAACTAAAATCGAAAAACGCTGTTGACGTTACTGGTTCAACGCATTCAGAAACAACCAAAAGAATCAGAATGAAGAACTCTTTGGAAAACAACGGTGTTTAAATAACGATCTTGCCATGATACTAGTCAGGAGGATACATACGACATTTGCAGACCGATGCAATTCCCATAAAAGAATTATTGCACCCCAATAAAATAAAATATAAATATAACTGAAAGACCTCTCGACTGGTGCAGCGTCAATCGAAAAGAATTTACAATTTTGTCAAGTTTCAAGTTTTTCGCAGCGAGCGAGTAGTTATTTAGTGGCGCAGGTTTGATTTACGACCCTTTAAAAACTTTTTATTGAATACAATGTTCCAAATTATTTAATTCAAGTACTAAAAAAAAATTATTAAAAATTACTAACCTTTCAATTTTTTATTTAACTAAATCACCTAATTTACTCACCTACATTATTTCTTAACAAGTAAACAAGTCTAAGTTCGGGCGGAGCCGAACATTAAATACCCGGCGCAAGTATTCGATATAGTTTTTTCACCTTACCGAAAACTACCGCTACATGGTAAGCAGTGTTGGTTTTACGTCTATTTCAAACATCTTCGATAGAACGTTCAGTTAGACATAACGAGATGAACTTATATAGATATATGTGGGCAGCATCACGCCCATTTTCCAAAATTCCATAATAATGTGACTTCTTTTCAAGGGATTGTTGTTACGAATTGATTATTTTGGGTAAAATTAGCGT